ATTCCAGTGAAATATATTTATGTTTGTGGTTGTAATGTGACAAAATATGGAAAAGTTCAAGGGGTATGAATACTTTTGCAAACCACTGTAAGTCTCCGAACTGAGCATATTCTCTCATAGCAATCTCTCTTATCGCACGTATATTTTTTTGGCCAGACAGTGTATAAAAATTTACATATAAAAAATCAAATTACATTATAATACTATAAAGTTGATTTACAACCAAAACTGTATAGGATAGGAATTATTTTCAAGAACAACATTGGTAATAACTGACATTGCATTGAAGTTAAAACGTAGCCAGTGATGTATGATATAAAACTGAGTGGACATGTGTTTAATCTGTATTTCTACAAAGACAAACTCAAAACTTGGAAAATCTTTACAAAATATGTCACCTTAGATATTACTTGATGTTATCATATTTTTTTTTACCTGCAATGGAWTAGCCGAGGTGTTTAGTTGTTCTCCCCATCTGTCAGCCATCTTGGTTTCACTGACTATTTTTTCCCATTGCAATCACCAGCCAATAGGATTTTTTTGTATGGGATGATGTAATAGCTTCCACTTTAAGCAACACTGCCCAAAATTACAGGCATATACTGTATATAGAAAAAAAAAACACTTTTAAACAGCTGTACACTGTAGTGACCTCTTTGCACGAAAGGGTTAAAGTGAATTTTGTGTTTGCTAAATCTGGCTAACTGTGGTGGTCATCCTAAATCAGGTTGACTTCAAAGATTAATCAATTGTAGACGTAAATCCACTGACTACTTCCTGAAACTTTCAATAAAATCCATTCAGTGGTTCAGGAGATATTTTGCTAACAGACACAGTTGACTTAAACAGYAAATGGCAAAGTTTGATGTATAGATCTTGAGCCATCTGTTTGGACCCAAAGTCTGTTTTGGGAATGACTCTMAGCTACCACCACAACAAACTTTAGCTCTGTGTCTGTAAAACTGGCTGATTTAGAGTCATTTTTGTGGCAGACGTCTTAAATCAAGATCATCTCAAAAGTTATTCAGTTTTATATGTATGCAGCACAATTCATTTAATGGTCAATTTAATTAAAATGCTTCCACTTGTTTATGAGATATTTTGCTAACAGACAGAAGCAGGTAAATAATCCTTCATGTTTCATGGTGAATATACTTTTTTGTTGTTCTTGATCCATTTTATTCATCACTTTTATTATGGTAATTATTTATTTTTTTATTCTTTTATTTTATTTTATTTTTTACTTTTGAGCAGTTTTTAAAAGAAGTATAGTTTAAAGTATGAAATCCACAGTAAGATTNTCTGTTGGAATGGTGGTTCCTCCACTCCTCTGTAGTCCTCTCTATTTGAGCTCTACTGATAAAGGTAAAAGTTAACATAAACATAAAATTATGTTCTTCATGTGTTTTGTACTGTAAAAAACATAAATGTAATAACATGGTAATTATATAGGTATAGTTATAATTTAGTTATACAGTTGTATATTCTGTTGGAATGGTGGTTCCTCCACTCCTCTGTAGTCCTCTCTATTTGAGCTCTACTGATAAAGGTAAAAGTTAACATAAACATAAAATTATGTTTTCRCTAGGYGTATTGATTCATCTTTAGGGATGTAAAACAAGGTTAAAAATAAAGATATATTCTCTCTGAACTGAGGAGGATAGTGTGACCCAARTCATAGGGCTGCACAATATATTGAAAATGTACCGTCWTYGCAATAACKGCTTGTGCAATATGCATATTGCAACAAATRCATAAACTGTTTGCATKTATGAGTTTTGTYACTCAGACAAAGCTYGAAGTATTTCACCAATCAAATGGAGCCCTTCATWTATTACTCTTCATATTTTTAAAAATTCATACCAGAATRAAAACKATTAGTTTTGTTTCTGTTTGTTTTATTTTTTTGCTCAGAACCCAGAGCAGAAAACATCAACACTACATACTTATGTATTTGTTCATTTATCGCAAGTCATATCGTCATTGCAATATTAAGCACTGTTATCACACATCACAGGTTTTTCTGATATCGTGCAGCCCTACTCTGAACTGTAGATCCTCATAGAATCTTGACTGTAACTGTTTATCAAAATGTATTCTTGTTAAGTCTCCGAACTGAGCATATTCTCTCATAGAAATCTCTCTTATAGCATGTATATTTTTTGGCCAGACAGTGTATAAAAA